AATACATTTTAACTCAAAACTTCGGTGTCGTCAGCACATAAGGCAACATGACAATTTTGACAAGCACTTCTAATATCGTTAATATGCATATTGAAGAAGGTTGGGCCAAGTACCGACCCCTTGGGCACTCCTGTTTCATCGTTCCCTCGTCAATCCATGTCGGGCATGCTCGTTCAATCACTCGTTGTCTCTTCTACTTGTTCGCTCAAAAGGCCCCTCAGCACATCAAGCTGTTGTATCTCGTTATGCAGAGACTGCCGCCGACATTTTCGTCTTACTTCTTGTTCCATTTTCTTTGTTCTCTCATAATCACCTTTCCTGAGAGAAAGCAACGCTTGACAATATTCATAATATATCTTGCTTCTTTCGGACAATCCCATAATCTGTCGATATGGAATCTGGTTCAAAATGGTCTCGGCGACATCAACATCAGATCTCTCGACTTCTTTGACAATATCATGTTGGTAATAACCTAAGTGAACCAGAGCTTTGCGTATTGTCATTTGCACCCTGATAACACTTTTATCAACTGGGACTTTCTCGCAAAGCTCGAGTGCCTTGTTGAAGTGATACAGAACACGCTTCCGATCTTCTGTGCTGTTTTTTCTTCTAGATAAGATGATATTTCCCTTCGCGTTGTGTATTTCTATAGAGTCCTCGTAGCACTCTCCTTCGCTCAGCATAATTTCTGCTTCGTCCGCGTGTGTCAGTGCTTCCTCGTCTTTTCCAATGTCATGTAAAACGAGTGCCATACATATCCGTATCCTTGCATATGCTAAAAATCTAGAAGTTTTGAGAAAAAAAGGTAATTATGCACAAAAAAATAACTACTTTCAAGATAGAATCACGTTCAAGAGATTATGAAACGTTTATATTTTCTTGTCATGTTATAGTATGCTGCACGATATTCTAAAACCTCACTGTTTGCTCACGCGTGTGCATAAAGTTTCCCCACAACTTGATTGGTTTCTTCAAAACACGTCTCGGAATCTGATTGGTTGTTTTGTTTTAGATCCACCACTGGTACTAGCCCAGTATAAGAGATATTTATTTATTGCGGACTGCATTAAACACCCACCCATCTCACCCCAGGGGAGGACATCCACCACACAGTAATCTCGTGCGTGGGAAATTAACGTCTCTTACCCTAACCCTGCAGGAGACGGGGCCTACGGCTTATTCGTCCTTATCCGGCTGAGAAGACTAGAATATCGAACCATTTCTTGATATTACAGAAAGATAGCAAATTCTCCTCAGTTATTTTAAGACCATGAGTATCGGTCCGGCCGGGGCTTGAACCCTCGACCTCCGGCACAACACAATCCGGCGCTCTAACCCATTGAGTTAACCGGGAGGCGGTTAGCTCGCTATGATAGAGAGATTAGCACCGCGTTTACGTGAAACGGCAAACGGTAACTCGCCCTTTCCCGTTTCGTTTTCCGGCAATTAACTTCTACCTTAAGGGAGAAAAAGGGGTGAAAATATCATGTACACGACAAAAGCAGAACAGGTTACTTTTCACGTGGAAACGGCAAAACGCAACCGGAAAAGGTGATAAAACGGCGGGAAAAACATGATCACGTGGTCACTCTTGCCGATCCCGTTTCAAGTAAACGCGACGTTAATTCTTTCTAATAAATTTGCTCACAACGTCCAAAAACACTATGCTTTGACGTAAATACCCGTTTTCCCTGTCGGAACCGCAGAAGGGAATCAGACCATTTAACATCTTTAGCGATTCTTCCTTCCTTGAGCGCTGATTGAGTGCACAAGCACTTTGGATACGAGCAAATATCTCTATGCCTGCATTACCCCTAAATCCCTGTAAAAAGTTCTCAAGACCTCTCCAGCAAAAATTGAAAGACAAAAAATTGGAGCTATCCATCAGTTTGATATATTTTCTCCTGGTGAGAATGTCCAATTTCCATTTTGGAGGCACTTGATAAATAGGGGTCGTAGCAGATTCTTTGGTATAAGGTTCCGACTCTGTTATTTCATGACGTGGTAAATTTGATGCAGTTTTACTCTGATCAGAGCGATGGGATTTCCTGGTTTCATCCCTGTGGGGACCTTTCCTCTTGTGCTCAGGTCTCTCTTCAATTTTCCAGGTCTCTCTTCCAAGTCTCTCTTCTCGTTTGTGCACAACCCTTTCATCCGACCGCAAGCGATCATGGTCGTTTTTCAAACACTTGCTTTCGTTTCGAGGCTCGTTCGTTGTAAATTCTCCTTCCGTCAGCATTTGCCAAAGACCGTGAACGATCGGATCAAATTCTGTAAGCAAGTTTTGAACGGCTGTTATCAAAGTTTTCACATTTGTCTCGAACGAGTCGTCAGACATCGATGTACTAGAAGCATGCGCTAACACTTCGTTTCTAACCTCCCGAATTTGATTTGCAGCCCTAGTTATTTTCTTTCCACGGACTGAGTCCCGTGCGGGGCTAAGAGCGTGTGAGTAATTTAGAGCAAAAGCTAGTGTGGATATGTCCCAGTTTTCGACGTTCCCGCTGGATAAATGATTCTTTATATGTCGGTATTCATTACAGTATCTCGGATCGTAAAGTCGAGAATGACGCAAAGGAGACTTCTCTTCCCCCAAAAGCTGTGATCCACTCGTAGTGTTATTCTGCCATGGAGTAGAAGTATAAAGCTTGTTCCATTCGTGTTTGAACACCTTTCGCAGTGCTGCCGTCGAATAACCATGAACGCACTTTGCGAGCCGAAAAAAGTTTAGATCTTCTTTGTGGTAAACAGGCATGTTTGCTTGATCTTCTAATTATAACTGCTTCTGTCAGCGGATTATTTCCAAAAAAAAACAAGTAAATGAAACCGAAAATGCAAATACCTTTATTTTCAATTCTTTAGCGTTTCATCTAGTCACGTTTCTATAAACTACGTGTTCATGCATATGTAATTCCTTTGTGGACTTTGTGAAAGGATTGTTCGAGAACCTTCCGGAACGTCACGATTATAAACGAAGTTAAGCCGAAAATTTGTAAAAAAACTACAAGGCGTTTCAGTCATCACTAAGCGTAAACTGGGGACGAGAACATATTCGATTTTCTCTGATCGACGTTTGAGAAGGTCTATGCTGCTTTTTCCCACGATTACTATGGAGTTAAAATTCGCTTGTACTGACGCTAGTAACTTGGGAACAATCAACTGATGTTTGATGATGGACGACTAGAAACACGCAGCTGTATGATATTTCGCTGTTGAACATATCTTCGCATGTTGTTTAAAACGGTGCGTACACAAGGCACTCAGTTAGCGGGTTTCTACTGAAAAGGTAAGCTCTGTAGATTTCGGTTTGTGTTTATTTTGTTTTGCTATTGTCAACAAGTGATCTTTAAAATGTCCCGCTGCAAGCGCGTATCTATTATCTCGAAAAGAATGAAGAAGGGAATATCAATTACTGTGTAACGAAAATGCGATTTTGCTCACGCTACAGGAAAACAGTCTTCGCGTCTCGCAGACACCTTCGGAAGGAATCTCAAAATTTGCGTTTGTGATGTAGAGTTCACGGACCCTTGAAATTTTCCAGCAAGTGAAGCGAGGATATTTTGAAATGGGTAAGGACTTATTCTAGAATTTTAGCGAATAGATCTGCTCATCTTATCGATTTCTACAAGCCAGGGTTTTTCGAGTGGTTGCATTAAATCTTTAGTAAAATGCTCTTGTTGTGAAATGTCATTTTGCCTTCCGCTTCGCTGGGGAGGTACACTGTAAGCATTGCTGGCTTTTCTTAAAAGGAATCTCTCTGGTCGTTTCTTAATTACAAAAGTGGGCTGTAGCCTTGGTCCTCTGTTGTCGCAATATGCGGTTTTAAAGTTGCTTAAAAGCGTTTGAGCATGATTTGTAAATTTCCGTTTCGCTTAGCGGTGCCTCATCTACCACTGGTTGTGTGTTATCATGTTCGTTTATGATCTCGCGTGCATTCTGATTTCACGAAGCCTGAGTTTATTTGTTTGTAGAATGTGTGGCGCTCGTTTATAGTTCGTGAACATGTACGCATTAAATTTAGATCTCATAGCTCTGTATCCTTGTTACGGCCGGCAGATAAGTGGAGGACTTGGTGATATATTTCCGATTGAATTCAAGCGGATGCAAGAATTCCTCTTATGTCGACTACGTTTGATTTCTGAAGGAACTTTGTATAGGAAGCGCTGAATCTCTGTTTTTGTCCCTTACCGTATCCTTGGAAATAAACCTAGCTCCAATTATTCCAGAAACAAAGTAGTGAGCGAAAGTTGTTCGAGACAAGTGTGCAATATTTTTGTCAGCTGTGTATACATATCAGAATGCGACAATGAATGGAAATCCCGGAGTGCAAGTTTTGTGTCTAATGTTCGTGTTATTTTTGTTCTGCACCTTAAGTACTGTAAGGTTATTTTCAAAGGGGAAAAGATCCAAAGTCTTATGCTTTCAGCGACAGTTTTTTTTGCGAGAGATCGATCGGACACATTTCAGCGTTTGGCACGAGGTGGTATTTTAATATTTTATTGTTGAGGTTCTCGTGTGAAGAACGTTCGATCGGACAAAAAACATGCCTCTGGCACCAAATGCATTTTAGCTTTTAAACTTAAGTGCACTGTTTTTTTTCAAATGCGGCTAGACCTTTGGGTGAGTTGTTTCTGTACACTGTCCAAACATGAAAAGGGGATAACCACTCATTTCATTGATTTGTCCCTCCGATTACAGAATTTTATCATCCGGAGTTATATTTTGCTTCCATATTTGGGAAAATCGAATGTTATAGGTGAAAATTTAAATTAAAGTTGCTGTTCGCTAACAAATTATAATAATGCGTCATTAGCATTTAAGCGTAGTTATGAACGAGGGCTTCTGTTTGTTGATGTTTTTTCCTTTTGAAAACGTCCAATTCTCACAAGGACGCATTTTTCCGGATTTAGACTCTCTTTCTTTAGGCTACCTTCTGTGCTAATGAGTTTTCGACCGAGAGAATCTTTTAGTATTACCCATCAAACGTGCTGTGATCGCTTGGCCAAAAGGTTGACATTTCCTTACCCTTTGACAGTCTTACAAGTAGTCGTTGGTCATGCTTTGATTCCACCAAAAATCTCCTTATTTTTCTTTCAAAACAATAACTAACTTTCATACTTGCTTTTTTACCCAAGATAGCTTTTATATCAGCACAGATTAATTTGTATCAGCACAAATTAATTTCTATCATGAAATTAAAAATAGCTCATAATCGTAAGGCTTAAAGTCTATTGTGGTGAAGAACAATAAAAAGACTAATTATTCCGTCTGGGTCTCTATTTTTTCGGTTTTCAATGCGTTCATACTGCCTAGGGAACAAAAACTCTTTCTTGCCAAATTATAAAACTTACAAGGACTCGACACTTCTTGCCCAAGTCAAAATTAACTAGACAAGTTGGGTAAAGGTTAAACTTAGAAAAACATTCTTAATAAAAACTCTTAAATTAACTTCGTATGTAAGACATATTCATCTTTAAAGATCAACAATATACACTATAAACAGGTCAGTGCATCGTCTCCAAAACATCCGCTCTGACAAATTTAATAATTTTTTAAAGGCGGAAACATTCTGTTACTCCTTGACACTTAACTTTTACTCCATCAAATTAGTTAATCACTGCTAGTAGAGCTGATCTGTCAAGCTTCATCTAAATGATAATTTACTCTTCTTCAGTTGACGTAATGTTACAATGATTGTGGGAAATGTTAGCTTGACAGCGTCATCGAGTCAATATATCCTAATTTTAAAAGATTCCAAAATCTGTATGTTCCTAAGAGATGTCAAGATGACACTAATAACTTTCAATTTGAATTTTAAGCATTATACCCTGCCAGATATTGCTGCATGTGCAGAGCACGTGTATCTGGGTCTTATATTTCACTTTTTGATGCAGATTTGTTTACCGCGTAGTGACAGAGACTTTTTCCAAGGACCAAACTTGAATTTACGTGGTTGTTTCTGGAGGGAAATCTCTGGTTTCAGTCACAAAACCTCTGCGTAACACTCAGAATGTCTGTATTGGAAAGTCTTTACTGTGGTCATTTACATCATCAAGTGAATGCAGTTGATAAGACCAAATTATTAAGGTTATAGTGTTTCACATTTGAAATTAATTGACAGATTTTGTGGACCATTCAAGGAGAACACTTGACTGTACAGCTTTAGTTTCCCAGAAAAATTTAATATTCAGAAATCAGAGGTAGCATAGGAAAGCTCTGTTCAGTTTTGGTTACTCTGTACTCTGGGAAGTCTGTGGGTGGCTGAAAACTCTTTCACTGTACTTTTACTGACCAATTTACATGCTAGCAATTGTAAGTTGGTTTTTTATGGAGAGTTATGTGAGATGATTTTTCTATCTTTAAGTGGTATCTATTTTAGAACTTAACTTAATAACTTATAAAAGGAAAGTTGGGGTTCTCTATGAGGGTAAATTGGAGTAAATTTTCCATCTGAAATTAAGTTATGTAAATCAACCCTACGTAATTAGAAACACCTTAAGGATATCAATTTGTTTTCAATATCGGGTCCTAAGGTCAGACAAGTTTCTATTGGCTCAGGGAGAGATAGATAGATAAATACTCCTTTGATATGCTTTGTATAGCTAGAGGCTGAATTGGGTATATTCATTAAAAAAAATTTAATGATAAAAGCTACAATTCCATCCAAAAACAAACTACATTGTAGAAGTAAATTAAAAAAGGTAACAGTGAGCACTGTAGGTATAGCAAAGTGTAACTTTCATTTTAAAAGATATGCGAAATCCCATTTAATTCTTCCAGACATGAAAGCTTCCATGAATAAAGGCTGATAGTTTCGAAAGAAACTGTTTGGGGCTGCGTCGGTGGGAGTAACGAAATAATTTGGATATATCAACAAAGTTGAAATGGTAAATTGGCCACTGTAATGATTACAAAAGCTGACGTTTGGAGCGTTAGCCCTTCATCGGAGCGAATGAAAGCTTCCATGCTTGTAGTTTGATAAATGAGCCAATTGCAGAGTGATCAAAGGGAGTTTCTATATGATAAAGTTGATTTTTTATTGTATAGAAATGTACCTTGATCGGTCCATCCAGGATTGCTTATAAACAATTTAGTCAAAATAGAGTTTACTTAAAGTCGTAAGCTCCCATACACACTTAATAAATATGATTATGACAGCTGTTAACCCTTGATAACATCTGGAAATCTCCTTTTACCATAATGATTATGTAGACTTTTAAGGTAGGTGTAATTTGGAAGGAGAATCCTGTAATTGACACGAAATCAGAGATAATTTAATTTTGACCATTCCCATTACCTGTACTTGAGGTTCAAAGTCCACGGTATTGCTTTCTAACTCTTTTACTCCCAAGATCAGATTGTGAATTCTCCCTTCTAGCTGCTACACATTTCCTTGTAAATTAGTTATGAGAATTTGGTGTTCTGGCTGATAAGTTTGAGTATTCTCATTACCTGTTTGCTGGATCATGTATGGATATTATAGGGAGAAGTTACATGTTAATCACTTTTGGGAGTTAAAAGGTTAATAGTAAAATGATTGATACTGATTCTTGGATTTATTCCTGCAGATGATGATCTGGAAAGTGGATACCTCAGCCCTGGGAGTGACTCCTCCAGATCTCAGACCCACAGGGCAAAAAATGTGAACAACAATTTTCACATGATGGAACAGAAAGTTCGCATCAAATTTGAATTTAAAGGTGAAAAAAGGTAAGGATTCAGAAAAATTGAGTTACAGGTCGTCATTTAAACTGCTGCCTTGGCATGAAGGGACAAGAAGGGGGGCATTGGGATTTTTCAGTTTTGCAGTTTTGGCTATTTTTCAGATCAGTTTTTCATTGTTTCTGCCAAAAAACTTTGGTTTTTCGGCTTCAGTGTTCATTAATTGCGATGAGGATATCTTTCATTTTTTTTAGCATTTGGTTTTTGGTTCTCTAGCTTCCAAATGACTAACGGCTTTTCAAATTTGGAATCCAGTGAGGTTCTCTGTTTTTCCTATTTGGGTTCGGTTTCTCTTCTATGCTCCTCTAGTCACCACTGTATGGTTCTCTACTCTTGATTGGTTAGAGGCCCTGTGACCTATGTTTGCTGCTGGTTCTACAAATTACAACCAACTTGGTCACCCCAACCTGTCACTTTCTAAGCCGAGAACTACATTATATGGTCTGCATTCTTTTAAATACTTAGCTGCTAAACTGTGGAATTCCCCACCCTGATGTCCTGAGAGCTTGCGAGGATTTATATAAATTTACGAGGAAAATTCTTATTTTTGTCAATTTTAATATTTAATATCACAAGCATGTATTTTTATATCTATAATATTTTAAACTACGTGGTATTTTACGGTATTTTATGTTTTATTGATGTATTATTTGATAGGCACAATTAAAATTTGTATTTTCATTGTATTTTATTACATTCTGGGGTGCTGTGATTGACTACGCTGATGCGGTGTCCCTGCCATTTTTCTTTTTTTATTATTTTTTTGAGGATCGTACACAAATATGTTTCCAGAACCGCAGTTGAGATATATGAATTTCACATATTCGTTATGTTTGATTTATCATCTTACGGGTTTGTGTCAGACTGGTTTGATGACTTGCTCCCAGTTAGCTTGTTAGCTCAATTGGTAGAGCGCTGCACTAGTATCGCAGAGGTCAGTGGTTCGAATCCCGTACAGGCCTGATTATTTTCAGGTCTGATTTTCACTATTGCTTAAATAGTGCTCTTTACTGCGAGGATTGTGCACAAATACATTTTTTTGATTGTTGTTGTTTGGTGAACTTAATAAATAAGTAAACATTTAACATAAAGACAAAAGCTTTAATTTGTAGCTACACTCAAATTTGTGTTGAAATAAGTTTATGTATGCATGTCGGTATGTATGTGCATTGAGAGTAGAGTGTTTTGCCAAACAACAGAACACATTGGCCTGGCCTGGTAATTAATGTTAACTTTTCTTTTTGCTTATTAGAATCATTCCAATCTCCAGACCTGTAATTTTATCCCAGTTACTTTTGAAAGTCAAGACAGCATATGGCCAGGATCTATCCATGAACTATGTCAGCAATGAGGTGTGTTAATGCTCTATTTTGTTGGAATTTTAAGCTACCCCTCAGGGCTTGACACTAATGGTAGCCCACTAGCCGTAGACTAGTAGAAATTCAGTTTTGGCTAGTGGTTTTCAATTTCCACCAGCCAGTTTGGCTAGTAAACAGACTGAAATGGTTGTAACATCTAAAAACATCTGAGATGTCACTAGCCACTTGGCTAGTAAGTTGAAAAATTAGTGTCGAGCCCTACTCCTTTCATGTTAGTGGGTTTTTAATTTGGGTGAAATGTTCTACAAGACCCTTGTTTTAGTCGAAACATCAATAGCTGCAGAATTGTTTTAAAAAATTCCTTCAGTTTAATTTTTCATTTTGCTTTAAAACAGAAGACTTTGACACCACTTTGAGGATGTGCCTTTGCTAAATTCAGATTTAGTTTATATTCTAACTTAACTTCACTGATTAGATTTCTTTATATGATCTTACTTGTATGTCTGATTTTGCATCAGTATCCACATGTTCCCAACTTTTCACTATACACTTTCTTCGCTAATTACAAGGAAGATTCAATCAGTTAACAATTAAAGATTTTTAAACGTAAGTTGGCAATCTCATATTGTGTCATCATAACCAGAGATTAAGCAGTATTACTGGACATTAGAAAAAATTAGATGCCAGTCACTATTAATACTGGTCACTATATATATCTTATTAACCAAGCACGAGGGCCGTACTGGGAGAATATCGGCCCGAGGTCTTGACAGTACGGACCGAGCGCAGCAAGGTCCATACAAAAAAGACTGAGGGCCGATATTATTCCAGTACGGTTCTGAGCAAGCTTGGTTGACAAGAGATTTATTATATGATTAAAGTTCAAAGGGACACAAGTGCGGTATCATTTGGGACCATTCAAGACAGTGCCCGGTCCAATACTGAGAGAATATTGACCGACAATACAGCATTTTGATTGATTGATTTTAGTTATTGGCCCTCTGACTGTCCGAGTCGTGTAATAAAACCGGTTACCCTCATTACTTCATTACTTCTCCTGTAGAATGCAATTCCTCTTGTGAGCCAATCTGATCTTGACAAAGCAATTGAAATCTTGGACAGAAGTCAGCACCTCACCAGCCTTAGAATACTGTTGTCGTTACCTAATGGCGTCAGCGACTTCAACAGTCATAAATCAAATGTACCGATCTCGTCAGTGATACCTCCAAGCAACCCAAAGGTTGGATCTCTCTTTGGTAAACCTTTCTATGTAAGTGAAAGTTAAACATTTGTCTTTCACAATTTTTTTCGCTTTTTGTGACTTTTCTTGTTAATTGTCCTTTCTTTGAGAGGATTGTTGCTTCAGCTAAGTTACCACTTGACGGCCATGTTATACACAGTTTTCTCTAAGTTTGGAAATGGTTAGCAAATAAAAAAAAAAATAGACGAACAGGGTATCATAGGTTATGTATACAAGTGAGAGTGGAAGGTAGTTTTATTCAGGAAAAATGCCCCAGCATTCTGTAGAGTTCTCATAAAGCTTTTAGCAAATGCTCAACATGAAATTGATTCACACATGTTAACCAGTTGCTGGACGGTAAATCATGCTTTCAATTCCACTCAAAAACTGGGAAATGGCAGCTGTGCAAATTTCTAAGATGTATTTTAATACCTGCATAATTTTCATCTGCACAGAAAATTGATGTTAACATTAAGTGAAAATACATTTAGCTGGTTTAAAATGGAAGACAGAGACAGGCTGGCTACTGATCTCACTGACAGCTCTGATTATGTAATGTAGCTGTCTTATAGATGAAAGGTCAAACTCCCTGTCTTGTCTATACATGTAGGCCCTCTTTTCTACATGTTTGAATTTGCTTCTGGTACAGTGCCATATTTAAGGTTACCGTGCACCTTCAGGGGTGTCTCGTGTGCAAGCGATGTAGCACGTTCGGTTTAAACTGTAGATATCTAAACCCCTATATCAAATTAAAGTTTATAGGACTGGCTATCAGACTATACCAAAAATTTTGAAAAAAATATTTTGTCAAATTTTTCACGACTTCTAAATGCGAGCGCCCGAATCACCTTTTGAATGTTACATGTTGAAGCGAATTTTGTTTTTTGCTTATTTAATGTCTTCCTCTGTTTCCAGGGCCAAAGTGCTAAAAAAGGTGTCTGCAATTTGCCATATTCAATTTCAGTGAAAAGTTACAGAACATTTTTGAAATAGGATTAAAAAAAATGTGGAAAGTATTTAGAAATAAAAAATTCGGAGATACATTTTTGTTGTTTATAAGTAAAACTAGCTACTGTCAAAATTTGAGAGCAATCAAACAAATTCCCTTTGACTTGTAGCTCTTAAAAGGTGATTCGGGTGCTCGCATTTAGAAGTCGTGAAAAATTCGACAATTAATTTTTTTTCAAAATTTTTGGTATAGTCTGATAGCCAGTCCTATAAGCTTTAATTTGATATGGGGGTTTAGATATATACAGTTTAAACCAGATGCGATACATCGCTTGCACCGGAGACACCCCTGAAGGTGCTCGGTAACCTTAATTACCTTTTTATTTTTTCTGGCACATTCAATGTACTTAGTTGCAAAAGTGGGCTATATACTCTTGGTCTATTTATAATCCCGGTTCTCACTGATCACAGAAAATTTGGGAAGTTGTTGAATTTTAAAAGATTATTTTCCAGGTCTGATAAGTCATGAAATTTGAGTGTAGTTCCTTGAAAGTCACGGAAAATTATTTTTTGATCACAAGAAAGACAAGAAATGTTGTGATCAATTATCATATAGAAACAAGCTTTGAAGCTTCCATCGGCTGTTTTAATTTCACAATATTTGCATTTGTCGTCTGTGCACAAAAGGACACATTAAAGAATTGTTTTCAACCAATAATTACAAACCACAAGTATTTACAAAACTCAAATGCATGGGATTCCCTTGGGAAAAATGTCACCTGAACTGGAAATGAAACAGTTGCCAAAGCTTCCTAATTGTAGGTCATGTAAAATGTCAAAAAGTCCTGTAAAAACAGAGAAAAGTCGTGGGTGAATGAAAGTTTATGGAAAACCGTCTGAGTCAAGTTATAAATTTTATTTTTCATGACGTTTCAACTGTTCTATGGCTAGTCTTTGTCAGCGAGAATGTGAACTCTGCATAACTGACCATCTTCTATTTATAAATAATTAATTTTGTCCTTGCTCTTGAATCTTTAGAAAAAAGGAAAACCAAGAAGTTATGGACTTGGAATCAGGTAACCAGCCCTACATTTTGTGTAGCTCTTTGTCCTTCAAATATTCACTCAGCTACTCACTCAGTTTGTAGTTCCTGATTAATGAGAATTTAAGGCATCTTTCCAGGTCTCAGTCAACCCCCGACGAGATTGCTTACATGGCAGTGGATCCACCAAACACGCCAAGTTTATCAAGATACATCAATGTGCAGTACATGTCGTCAAGCAATATCAACACTAGAGGACGCAACTCACCTCCTCCAGGATTTCATCATGATGAATTCCCAGCTCAGCCTTTCCATATGGTCAGGGTAAGATCCAATTGAGCAACAGTTGCCTGATCAGCACAAGTTTTTTCCTTACATTACTGAGACATTGTTTAGGACAGAAATTATGAGAATGAAGGAAACAATCAAGTAGGGATATACAGTGTTACACTGTACTTTTTTGATATGTAACATTTATTATTGTTGCTGTTTTACTGGATCTTTAGAGTGAAAAAGGTCATTGAATGAATATTCAGGTAGTTAATTTGTTTCTTCCATTCCAGGGTGAGGGTGAATTTATACCAGAAAGCCAAGATCATGTGGTGAGCAATGTAACCAGTCTTGCTAATAGTAAATGTCAAGTTTTCGTCTTTAATCTGACTTTAGGTAAACAAATATCTTGTTAAATGGCTCAGACAAGGAAAATTGGAAAAAAATATGACCTTAGGGCACAGGGCACAAGGTGAAATGAAAACATTCTCACACCCTGTCCTAAATGCCAGGAGGTATTAAATTTTTGTGAAAAGAAAAACATTATTATTCTGTAGTTGTTTAAAAAATCGGTTTAAATTAAAATATGCACTTTTTTGTGGTAACTATTTCTGCTCTCAATCTTACCAGAGGTTTTCTGAAGGCAATGTTATGTTTACAACACTTTAATTTTCCTACTGTATCTTCAGGTTGTTCCCAGATTTCATAGACGATTGAACATGTGGTATGATCCCCTATCACACAGTCAGGTAATTTCTGTGCACACTATTGCAAAACATTTATCATTTACAACAAACAGATGTTGTGGTGGGTCTGCACAGTTATAGACCACAGAAGGCAACAAAATGTGGTAACAGGAACATTCAGTGATGGTCTTGTCTGCCCCATATGTGCAAAATGTGGTTACAAGAACATTCAGTAATGCACTTATCTGCCCCTTGTGTGCAAAATGTGATAACAAGAACATTCAGTGATACACTTGTCTGCCCCTTGTGTGCAACTTTTCTGTTCTTACCACATTTGACATCATCTGTGACCTATTGTTGGACAGAAACAAGTTCAGCAACATGGAATCTACCTGTTACACAGATCAATTGGGTGTTCATGTACTCCAAGGTTACTGTTTACCAATTGATTAAAAAGATTATATTGAAAATGCTTTGGAAAGTTTCATATTATATTCTAACAGCAATCCTTATCGTGTGCTATGTTCCCAGGTCAGAGTTGTTTCCAGTCCAAGCTCTGAAGGTTCTTGGAGAGGATCATCCTTTTCTGTGGACAGGTAAGTTAGGTCTCAGTAATTTTTTCCTTACAGTCTGCCAAACATTTCTTTTAAAGTTAGCTCTGCAGAATTTGGTATTAAATCAAACAATACAGTCAAACCTCAATTATCAGGAACTGGATAATTTGGATTTTCCTATTATCTGGACTTGCTTCTCTGGTCCCATTATTTATGAATATTTATGTTCATATTTTTTATTATCCATACTCTTGATTATCCGGCCAATTATCGAGGTTCAACCTTACCTTCTATTTGATTTTTGTTGTTGTATCAATTGCCCCCCAACCCCTTTTGCTTGACGATGACTTGTAGTGATAATTTGAGAGAAATGATTATCTGGTCACCACTGACAGCAAGAGGGTAGATGAAGTACCATGTCTGACTTGAGGGTGTGGGGATTTCCAAATGTACCCAAACAGGGACATCCATTAATGTTAAAACTACAATTTTGTTTCCAGTGGAGGAGAAATGCAATCATTTTACAACTCTACAAGATCAGCATCAAACAGCTCACTGGTGGTGGCTAGTGGAATGTTTTCCTCAGGTAAGCCCTTTTTTTTTAGCAGAACTTTTCGTTATGTTACACCGTAACATCAGTAAGCATTTTTTCCGTACTGTTCTCTAGACATTTAGTAAGGTGATGACAGTGAGATATTTGTTTCAGTTACCAGTCAAAGAGCCTCTTTAGTTGGTGATCATTTCCTTTATTCTCCTGACCTTAATGTGTGATTCAGGGGTGATATTGTAAGGAGAAATTAGATGTTAGTCACTCGTAATGGTCAAAGTGTTAAATATGAGCTTACTTTGGGTAACAGTAGTGTCTTGCTGTTCTTGAAATCCACACCTCATAATGCGTGAACTAAAATTCCATCCAGGATTTTCATTCGAAGAGGCATTCTTTTGCCTCTCGTCACATTTTGTTGTTGAAAGGCTTTCATTTTTAGACAAAATTTAATCTATACCTTTTGTTTAAAATCTGTAGAAGAGGATATAACCGACTGTAAAGCTCATACGTACCCAAGAAGGAGAAGTCATACAATAGGAGGACCAGATATAGACTACAATGACGGTACGAGACAGTAGTAAAATGACAGATAAACTTCTTTGGCAATTTTCGATCGAAAATTATCCGAGATTGCATAGGTTTTGCCTTACTTTGCTCAATCAGCCAATCAGTTAAAAAGCTAAGACCAATCACGACATGGTTGCCCGTGTTTTCCCGCGCTTTAGGCAGTTTGTGATTGGTTCAGAAAACTCGCGCCACTCTCTCAACCAATCAGTTGTAAAACTAAAACCAATCACGACTTGGTCGCCTGCGTTTTCCCGCTCTTTTTGCAGTTTGCTTGTTTTTACTTTGAGTGCTCATTGGCTGTTAAAGGTATTTTTCTTTTTTCTGATTGGCTGTTGTGACTACTTTGGTTTCGGTTCTAAGATGTTCAGTCGAAAAGTGCTAAACGCTGGTCGATGTGTATTCCACTAAACAAGTTTTTGACATCTTGCAGTCGTTTCTTGAACTTTTTTTTTTTTTGTTGACAATTTAGTATATGAAGTTTAAAAGAGTGTTTTTCATACCCGGTTCAAGTGTCTTGTTTTATCAAACCTCATCATGGTCAGCTTTCTGAGAGCGAGCTCGTAAGTTTTAATCATTTTTGTTTCCAGGAAGCCAAAGATATAACGGTACACAGAATTCTCGCAAACCAATCCCGCTGTCAATGAGAATAGACCAGCAAATTAGTCCTGCCAGTAGCAGTAGCAGCAGCAGTGGTTTGATAGCCGACATCGACATAAACACAAAAAGACCTGGAAAAGAGTCTGAACTTGAAGTCGCCGTGCAGAGGCTTAAAGACATGTCAATAACAGAAACTAAAGGTGAAGGGAGTTGACCAACTTTATCTGCGAGTCCTTTGGTTTTTCGATACTTTGATCTGTGATTGGTGTTGAAAATTCGCGCCATCCTCTCAGCCAATCAGATGTAAAACTAAAACCAGTTGCGTCTTGGTCAGTCGCGTTTTGCCGCGCTTTCTGTAGTTTTCTTGTTTCCACTGAGAGTTCTCATTGGCTGATTGTGAAATTTACATTGTTTCTAATTGGCTGCTGCGACTACCATGGGTTTCGTTTCACTACAGACAACCGAAAGATGTTTTAGTGTTTTTGTTTTCGGTTTCCCCAACAACAAACCACCACGCATTTATACTCCTGGGTGAAGTATAAGCAGCACTTTGGGAGCGCGATGTCTTTTACTACAACAGAAACTCTAAAGAAGGTTTGAAGCTAGCGCGTTAACCATTATATTATTAAAGCGCCTGGTGCTTTACTACACCATTACTACGTTAGTCTTAATACAAATCAACGCGATGGTAAAAATATACCTCGGAGACTACACTTAGGAAGTAAGAAATACTGTTGCTCCATTTTTGCAATGGCTTAGAGACTTCAAAGTCAAGGTACGCGATCATAACGTCATGTTCCTTTTCTAATAAGTATTTCTTTGATGTAAATTGTTTCCCACAGTGCTTGAGGTGCCAAGAAACTGGACCAAGGGAAAGCTTCTTGGAGCAGGAGCATTTGGTCAGGTGAGATTATAATTTCGGTTACTCCATAGCTTCATCAGAGATTTCTTTTTTCATTGGAAAGCTCAAATTACAAGCGTCAAGTTGCTTACAATTCTCCTAACACGAACTCTACTACTACTAATAATGATAATAATAACAATAATAATAATCACACGACCCCTGAGTAAGTTTTAAGAATGCTTAAATGTTTCTTTTAACTTAATTAGGACGTGATAGACTGGTGCGCGCTGGAAACTACAAAAGAGATTTTCTGTGGGATTGCGCGAGCGGGGCCGGACGGGTCATGGGATAACAAAGCTCAAAGAACCAACGTTACTTACATCACGTTTAAAATTAATTTTAATCACAGATCGTCACTATTTACACTGTTTTTACACGCTGCTAAACTACAGTACCTTATTCACGAATTTTACAACAACTTGAAGTCTTTTTTACCGTAAGATGAAAGCGTCTTTGCTTTGACGAAACGTCCCTGTTAGGGTTTTACTGGTTGTAGTTAAAGAGCCATCGATTTGAGTCTTTTCTTCTGGTATAGGTCTACATGTGTCACGACCATGATACAGGGAGCGAATTAGCCGTCAAACAAGTTGAAGTTGGGCTACTGAACACTGCAACCCAAAAGGTTTGTCACCAACTTCCAGCTACGTGGAAAATGATAAAAACTGGATTTCTCCTTAAAAAATCGACATAATATAAAGCAGACAAGGGAGGAGAACATTAGGGGATTACTTGTTGATCGAATACTGAATTCTCCAAAGTAATATAATAAGAGTTATATGGTAGACAGTATGGAGAATTTCGTAATAGATCAGATCTTAGGAATGAAAGGATTAATCCAAGAGAGCATTGAAAGATATTTTCGATTCAGAAACCATGAAATTTTATCCCACCTTTTTAAAGTATGTATAAATATTTACTGAGTTTCACATCTTGAGTTCTCCTCGAATGACTTCTACAAATTTGGTAAAAAATTTGACTGTGGACGTCGTCATTTTGAAGAGCACTCAGTAACCTGGCCGCAAAGATTCGTGGTCAAGCTTTATGGTTCTTTGTTTTTCTTCAGGAAGTGAAAGCTCTAGAAGCAGAGATCGATCTTTTAAAGAATCTCAGACACGACAGAATAGTGTTATACTATGGAACACAACAGACGGATCTGCATGTCTACATATTCATGGAATACATGCCCGGGGTAAGAATTTCCGGTCAGTATTTGAGCAACGGGGCACCCACCCAACCACTAACCAAACAACATTTAACGGATAACAAGTTAGGGTTAATTTTGGATTGGGGAGGGGAGGGGAGGGGAGGGGAAGGGCAGGTTCGTGCGCAGTTGCTCAGATACTAAAGTTGATCTGAATTTCCTAACTGAATTATCTTCAACGTATAAGTTGCGTTCATGTGTCTTCTTTAGATGTTCTCACCGTTTTCTATCCTTGTGCGCCTCCGTATTTACTGCGTTCCTTTGAATTTGTGTACAATTCGAAGCCGTCATTGTTCTGTTTAAGTTAACTCCAGGACTCGTTCAATTGATATAGTAAGAGCAAAGCTGAAGGGGTCACATGGTCACATCAGCCAATCAAAGCAAAGGACGATATCAAGAGGAGCCTATGAGAACTCAAAGTAAATACAGGCAAATGGACTTAGCGCGGGAAATGCGGTTGAAACGCGATCGGTTTCAGTTTGCGTCTGACTGGTTGAAAGCGGCGCGTGAGATTTGAGGAGCAGTTTTAAAGCGAAATAAAGCAAAGCCTATGTAATCCAGGAGCATCTTCAACACCCAGTTAAAAATTACATTGTTTTCAGCCTAGTCGTGTGACGTTGGATGCTGGGCCGAGTTTTTCTAATACAAAACTTGTGCGTTTCTAAACACTTGGTTGATCCTCCTATGAAAACTAATCCATACTTTTGCAATAAATTTTACAGGCATCAGTACACGACCATATCAAGCAACATGGCGCTCTCAATGAGAGTTTAACAAGAAAATATACAAGACAAATTTTAGAGGGAGTGTCTTTCCTTCACGCTACATTAATTGTTCACAGAGACATAAAAGGTAAACTTATGGAAACTTAATAATAATAATAATAATAATAATAATAGTAATAATAATGACAGTCTTTATACAAGGGGCTCACATCACTGGAGAGTGGTATTCTGTGAGGCCCTGTAAAATATAAATAAATAAGATAAAAGTCATCGTAAATAGATAACAGATTAGAATCATAAAAACTAAGTAATACACAAGGTATGTAAACATGATAGGATAAAATCTCAACAGTAACTTAACTAAGTACATGATTTTTCACTCTATGCTAAAAGATGAGAAAGCAGTCGATTTCATTCCATTCTTTTGCGCATATGTATAAAGATTCCATTCTTTTGCGCATATGTCTAAAAGTCTGTTTCCATAGTTCATTTTTACTCGAGGGAGGCAGAAATCGTTCTTTCTTCTTGTGTTATATCTATGGAAGTCAGAATTTCTTAAAATACTTCATGTACAACACCCTGAAGAAACAGTCTAGTGAATGATGTGATTTAGAGCTGATCGCACCTACATCTTTATCGCAAAGACCCCTATTCAAACGTCAGTGGAGCGCGAGATGTTTTAATTTGTTTTAAATTCATCGCTTGGCCTTTTATTTTCTCTGACTAAGCCTTTGCGTTGCCTAAGCCCTTAAAAAAATTCTAACGAGGGCCTAAGGGGTCTGGTAAAGGTTTAAGGGGGCACTGTAGAACTGATATCCCCGATTTTTTCCCAGTGAGATACAAATAAACCTTAAGATCATGATGTAAAGACTTTAATGCAAAAAATACTTAAAAATTACTGCGAGCTGTTGCTATTATAAAAAATGCAAGTAGATCGATATTATTTGAAACCGTATTGGGATATGAAAATACCGAACATGGGTAATAAAGATTCCAGAAACTTAATCCTCAAAAAACCCCTTGCTGAGCTTAACTGAAGATCACAACAGGAATGGGTTCTTTGGAGATATTAAGAAAATAATTAATTTTAATTAATAATTTATTTATAAATTTTTTCTTTTCTTTTAAGGTGCAAACATCCTAAGAGATCTTCGTGGTAATGTGAAATTAGCCGATTTTGGCGCTTCCAAGAGATTACAGGTAACTGTAACCATTCACCGAACCTTGTTCCTTAATGAAGGACACAAAAAATGCACGTTCTTACTCAAGCGCTAGTGATCCCTGAGATTTTCAGTTTAATGTCCTATTAACGTGCTTTTGTGCATTGGAATGAAAGCTACTGACCATTACTTTCATGCAGTACTGTTAATTGTCATGTCTGAATACCATCTTCTGTCTATATCGCAGACAATTCGAAGTAAAACTGGTTTTCGATCAGTACATGGCACTCCATACTGGATGGCGCCAGAGGTAATAAATGGAGAAGGATACGGGCGCAAGGCTGATATCTGGTGAGGAACGAGTCCTGTTTTGAAAATAAATGCCAAAATGTCGAATAGACCATTTTACAGTTGTGTACTTAGTTGCCAAGCCTTTGATTTGAAGTGAGGCTAAGGATGACATTGTTGTGATAGAGACCAGTATCTAGTTAGCATGATAACAAAGAAATTTGCATTTGAAAAGCAGCAACATCTGTATCATACTAAGGTCACCCTAACCTCACTCCTGTTCAAAGGCTTGGCCACCAAGCCCGCAACTGTAAAAAGGACTATTATGTGATGTTTATACACCTTTATGTGGGAGACGCAGTGGGTTCATGGCTAGTGCGCTCGACTCCGGATCAAGTGGTCTGGGTTCGAGCCCCGGCCGGGGACATTGTTTTGTGTTCTAAGGCATGACACTTTACTCTCACAGTGCCTCTCTACACCCAGGTGTATAAATGGGTACCGGCGAATTTAATGCTGGGGGGTAACCTTGCGATGGACTAGCATCCCATCCGGGAAGGGTGGGGGTAGTAATACTCCTAGTTGCTTCATGCTACGGAAACCGCCTGATGGGCCACTTGGCTCATAAAAAGACTTCACCGTTTATACACCTTTATAGAAGGCGTTGATGAGAAATTCGATTCTGATTTTTTCCTCGCCTCCTTTGTAGATATGTTATGATATTTGGTGCGGTACAGATCCCATGTGACACTAAATTCACAGAACTTGAATTATGTATTACTTAAACAACTTTACAGAAGGCATTAAAGAGAATTTTGATCGCGAACTTGCTTCGTCTCTTGTATAGGAGTCTTGGATGCACAGTGGTAGAAATGTTGACAACGAAACCTCCATGGGCAGAATTCGAACCGATGGCGGCCCTGTTCAATATTGCCACGCAACCCACAGAACCCTCACTGCCGCACGATCTATCTGAGGACGCCATGGAATTTATTCAGTCCACTCTAACAAAGTGAGTACCTTGAAACGGACTAGACTGAGAAGTGTTGTGTTTGTTGATAGGGAGGGGAGGGTGGTGGAGGACAAATTTGGGAATACTGGCGCCATTTTGGTAAGATACCAAGGTGGTAGAATTCCTCCTTGTGTAGCTTGCCTTGTTACAAAATCGCGGCTGTTTTAGTGAGCTAAATTCAAGGGAAGGCAGTTACTCTCCTCTCGATAGAATTAGAATTGAAGCGTGGTATATCGTAGCAGGAAGTGTTAGTTAGTAAATAATTTTGGAGCCACTAGTGACTACAACAGCAGACTTCGAGAGAGACTGGATAGAAACGGCTTGACAGAGGTGCCGACCGCGGAAATCATAGAAACGGTCATTTAGGAATGACTGTACGTAGTTAGTGGAAGAAGTAGCAGCCTCAATGAACACGTAAGAAGCTACAGTCCTAAATGTAACAGCAGGAGCCATGCTAGCAATAGCACTTAGTGTGGGAGTAGTCTTTGAACATGGCAAAGAGTAGGCAAGAATGTCGGTGACCGTAATAACAGAAAGAAGCGGTTGGCAACGAGATAGTTCAGCTATGAAAAGAGAGGTGGCCTTGTCAGAAAATACCGAGTTTGAAGGTGGTGGAAGTGGTAGTTACCGTAGTTGCAGGAGGACGTGGGAGTGTTGGAATCGGTAGAAGAAGGAGCAAGAACACCTTCGGTATTGAGATACAGAGTGGGGTGTGGCAGGTATTGGTGAAGGGGGGGGATGCAGTCGTTGGAGTGGTTAATGCAATTGTTATCGTAGATGTAAAGGAAGTTACTACAATATTTGAGTAAAGAGAAGAAGGAACAGTAATATCCACGGTATTCATAGCGGAATGACCGAAGATAGATCGAAGATACCTTGAAGATACCTCGAAGATTTGGTTTGAAGGTACCCAAGTTTTGACAAGGATTGTAGTGGCCGCAGTGTTAGAAGCGGTATGTGCAGCAGGAAGTGGCAGTAGTGGAGTTAGAAGAAGAACAAGTACGTGTGGTAGAGAGCACAAGTGAGAGCAAAAGTCGTAGGAGAGAGTAGTTAGTTGTTTAGAATAGTCGAAGCTCTTTCAGTTGCCGGTAGTATCAGAAGTGAAAGAGAGTTTGTTACAGAAGCTGCGTCAGGTTTCACTTTGTTTGTCAACAACGGTTGAGTAATCTCACTGCTTCCTAGGAACTCTTGGCAAAGGCCTTCAGCTGACGAACTGTTGAACTTCACCTTCGTTATAAACTCCACCGTAACAACATGTTTATGACGATGTAAAAGAACGAAAGATGCCTGTGACGAGGTATCTTCAGACACGAAGGACTTTCTTTCGTTTGTAAATAGAGGATGATCAACTCCTTTATGACTTTTCAGTCAATCCTTAAGACAATCATCAAAGTAAACTTCACAACGAGATCACTAGTTCAAAATGGTGAGCTGAAGTTCATTTGATGCAGGCAAGCTAAGGATCTGCGATAGGAGGGCATCACTGTCCCCATGGAATAATCAAGAGAAGTTTCAAGAATCAAGAAGAGAATTCAAAATAAAAAGCGTTAACCAATTAAACTAGAACGCATCGAAGTGAACTTCAACCATTAGACACGAGCGAGAGTTAGAGAATTATCCACAGCAACGATAATTATACATTTTTACAAGCTATCAAATTTTCGTGGATGATTCTTTTGGTTAGATTTCGAGACTAAAAAAAAAAACATCCCATGCAGAAGAGGCTGTGGTGTACGGGATACAGTATTACAGCCAATATTTTTTAAGTTTACTCCTCTACGAAGAAGGCGAGAGGACATTTATATATGGTCGTACTGGAATTGTGTATAGATATGTGATTCTTCGCCTCTTCGTGTCATTCAAAGCCGACACCTACTTTTCACGAAAGTGAACCAGAGATTGCACGAGTCGTTGAACTTTTGAGCTTACTCATGACAGCTATAAATATTCCGCCGACAAGAGCGCTATTTTGGACGCTTTAACTTCAGTTCTTTTTATAGCCCTGTTGACAGTGTGTTTGAACCAAGAGAGTATCAAGCTACGAGACTGACCTCTTTACGAAGGACATATTCTTAAAGAAAATCTCTCCCAATTTATTGTTAGACCTAATGTCTCTGGTCTCGAGGGAATATAACATATACCATGCGTGTACCATGCGAATGTCTTATTGGAGAACACCTGCACACAACATTGGACGTTCACACGCGAAAATAATGCGACACGAAATTGGTTGTTGTCTTATATTCTCCGGGATCTCTGAAAACAGTGGTGATTTCAGAATAGCTTCCGTGAAAATAGTTCACGTTCTTTTTTCGTGCTTCGCAAGCGTGGCTTCAAGGTGTCCTCTGCTTTTCATTGGTTACGTGATTGGCACGCTGTCATTTGCCACACGTTTCCCGCTCTGTTTGTTTTAGTTTTTCCCGCTCTTTTCGCTGGTTTCTTATTTGGCGCGCTTGCAGGTTGCCACATCTTCCCGCGCTCAACGCTGATTTGTACCTGGTCCTTGTTTTCCCGCGCTTACGATGTCTTGTGGTGTGGTGTGGCGAGGAGTTTGACAATATGACACCAAAAGAGATTTAATTCAGGCGAAAACTTGTTACTCTGGAATTATTTTAAAAAAGCATGTACATGAAGCCTAAAGTATTGAGTTTTTTTACGATATGTAAATAATTCAGCTTCTCAATAGAGGCGTTCTGTTTTTTCGAATTTTGTTCGTGCTGAACAAGTGATATTTTATATAACAGCTTGCTTCAATAAGTCATTCAATGAAAGTTTATATTGTACAATACTGCTGTAGAGAAGGGATAGGTTGTAGATAGGCTTCATTGATAGAAGATCAAATTAAGGTTTTGTTATGTTCTCCAGCTGCAAAGCCCAAATTCAAATAATCAATATTTTCATTGGCAGTTCATCGCTTCTCGTAATAAACTGTAAATGGTTATGGCATGAATGTGAACGGAGTCAGTAGTTCATCCATATATTTAAACGACACACCTTACAGCATAACGAGAATTATTATCACTTTGTTATTATTACTTTGTCGGGCATTGTGGTGCACTTTGCGAGCTAAAACGGAGATTTTGGCAGACTAAACCGTACTTTAGCCCACTTGCTCGCACGTATGATGTTCAGACTTTTTTGTTGTCATTTTTCAGTTTTTTTTCCCAATGCTCTCCAAAGTGATAAAAATAGTAATACAGTTTATGTTCTTGGGTATGTAACCATTGAATATGTTTTGAGCCCTTCTCAGATCACTTTAACCCTCACTTAGCGGCTCGAGCTAAAATGACTGAGTCGGACTGCCCGCGAACATTGACTCTATTGTTTTAATACCGCACGGAAGTTCCGCTCAATGGCGGAATGCTTAATTTATGGTAAATATCCACATAATTTGGTAGATCGTCGTTCAAAACAGACTCTAAAGCCAATGTTCATAGAGTGACTCCTGATCGTACAATGTAGAGTAACTCCGACTGCAGGCGACAAATTTGTTCTGGCAAGCAGCTTGAGACTGTGAAATAGATTGTCAGTTATCTTTGGAAAAAAAAAACAATGAATAAAGTATTGAATTAAAAGTGCATTGTTTGATGTAGGAGGCTACGTGCAGCGTCGTGGTTCAGAATCAAGTTGATTTGTGTAGTGACAGTGGGGAGAAGTTTCCTTTCCTTTTACCTTTTCTTTTGTTACAGTTTATCCGTTGAAGCTCAATTGAACAGCGAAAGACTGGCATGCGCGAATGAGTAATCACACGTGCGTGTGTTTCCCGTCGCACGCGTGTCACAGAAGTTTTCGCCGAGTAACCACTTGCGTGGTCAATTCTTTGTCTGTCTCAGCGTTCCTTTCTGAGGTATATCTTTATTGGCAACCCGGGCTTATGTTAAACGTGAACTTTTGTGTACCAGCCCCCTTCCCTCTTTTCCGGTGATTTAAGAACCGGTCACCCCCTACCCCCCTGTGGAGGGGGGTGAGGGGGTGAGTTAGGTTATTGTGTCACGATGACATTTGCCTGATTCCCCCCTTAATGCGCTGTGATATTTATCTAAACCCAGTCATTATGACTAAATAAATAATGACTTTATGGAATTACACAATTACTGGTAGAACCAGTAGTTCTCATTGTAGTCCTTGCAAACAAATGAAATAAATAATTCAAATCGAACATAACATTATTAAGAATCCCAACTGGCCGAAGGTAAACCAGTTGGATATTTACAAGCATAGCCGTGGATTTGAACTCGGAACTACCGTGAAACAAATCTAGGTAGAGGTCAGGGTGGGACTCGAACCCGGGAGTGGCTGATTGCGAGTCCAATACGCTGACCACTCGGCCACACTACCTCATTGACAGTTAACTGACAGCAAATTTTATATAGTCCCCCACTTTATACTCTGTTGCAGACAACTGATATCCCTCTGTTCCCCCTTAAAAACCATGCGTGTTATCCACCAAAATCCAACTCCCTCCCCTCACCCCTGAATTAAAGATTTCAGCCTCGCTTTACTTCAGGTAGTTAACACTGCATGAACCATCAGGCTTATTTCACGTGTTTCGGCCGGGCACCAGAATACTTGCAATAAATGACGGAAAACAATGGTAAACAAACCTTTACGATAATCAATATCACTCGAGAGAGAGAGAGAGAGAGAGAGAGAGAGAGAGAGAGAGAGAGAGAGAGAGAGAGAGAGAGAGAACAAAATTGCCATCTTCATTTTTAATATTACTCTACTTTATCTAGTAACCGCTATTACAACATCAGCAAAACAGAGAACAAAAGCTGAGCCACCAGTACAAAACAAAGTGGTTTGAATGTTGGCAAGGAAAAAAACCTGCCGAAAAATAAGCGTTGGGGGAAGAAAGGACAAGAAATCTGCCGGGAGGAACCAGGTGGAAGCTCTTACAGACCACCCTACGAGGCTAGATAACATATTATATCCAAAATAAAGAAAAGATTATAGAAGGCAGTGTCGGCTCAGAATGATTAACCGATTGAATATCTGCACAGTGTTACCGGTGATTCAACCCACTAGTGTGCTGCAGAAATATTCAATTTCAGGCTAATTCGTAAACATTCGAGGGCAGATAATTCTATCCATCATCATGTTGCAAAATTGTTGTTCGTACCCAGATCTTTCTCGTTATCTGCCTGATTCTCCTAACCCGCACCTCCTCTGACGCAAGTCGACGCTTCAACGACTGCGAAAGTATTACACACAATTAAAGACAATTTGTTGAAAACTCAAGAGCCAATAAACTCTTGGAGCTATTATTGAACATGACCATTAACGCCTGAATGTGAAAGATAGTTGGATTCTTGTTGAAGACTTTCGAAACTGAATGATTTATCGAAACTAAAGTCATTCAAGCAATTTCTTTGCAGCTATCGAGCTGAAGAGGGAAATTCAACTCGAAGCTGTTTTAATTTGAATATTTGACGAATGGAACAGGATATCTCCCAAGACTGCACGACATGGCGTTTTCAAAAAAGACTGGATGTTGCTTTTTCTTACGTGCCTCACATTAAGGTAGGAATTGTTAACAACTTGGGGGAACTTGACCTCGCATGCTTTTTTTAGAGCGACTTCAATCAAAATTCATCATAAGGAAAATTACCCTCGAGACAATAATTGCATTTATGAAAACAGAAAATATCACGTCGAGCATCTATATTATTAGACACGACAATTTCAATTTTTTCGTTTAAAGAGATATTTATGCAGCAGCAGGTATGAATTACAGCCCGACTGTAAAGACGTATATTTTTTTTCCGAACTTAAAACTACATTTTCTCTGCTGAAACACTAGCCGGATAAACGAAACTTTGTAAGATTTTCAATCTAGGGTGCTCGAATACTTATGAATTTCTTGTAGTACTTTGGCTGTTTTAGTCTTCAGTCGTGCTGTTACATCATTCTTTAATAAGCCGTGAACATTTGTGGCTTGTGAAATGAACCGGGTCCTAAGATTTTAAAACGGGGAAAAGCCGGAATGCCCTTAATTCGTTCTCGGCACGAAAAAGTAGTCGTGGAAAAACATTGTAGTCAACGAGTCATTCTTACGGCAAGGCTCAACATTTATATTCCTTTTACAAGACGCTACAAGCGATATTACTATTCAGTGTTGGAAAGCAGAAAATTGCCAAACTGACTTTCACTAAGGAGATTCCTGCACGCATTGCGTTCCTGTGTTGCCTAATTAATCTTATCTATGTGCAAAACACTTAACAATACACTAATAGAGAAATGAATACCCATAAAAACTACGGTTAGGTCACAAGCTATCAGAATGGTCTTGCATGAAAAATTTCACAGACGCACTCATATAGAATTCAAGGCACTTGTGTTTGAGACGATCGTGCAATACAAACCCAATTAGATATGACAGCCCTAAACCAAATTTTACTTTCATAAGACAGCAGAAGATTTTTCCTTCACTATGGGGGCGCAAATATGAGGGAAGGGGAGTTCAGTCTTTCTCGGGGGCATAGGCCCCTTCCCCGCCCAAATTTTTATGAACGAAATTTATCACAATCGAAGCGTGAACTGGCTTGATATGATATTTAGTCTTGTGCAAGTGATGTTTTCAAATATCGTTTCATCAAGATGGCGCTTGATAAATGAAAAGTTGCAAGACTTTTTTTGGACGAATACATACTTGTACACTGTCCCAAAATATATTACAGACACCCGAGCTCCGGTTATTCTAAGGGTGGATAACGCCATCCATCGGATAAATCTCTATCCGGTGGCGAGCGCAGTATGGTTCGTTTACGCCTGGAAAACGAGTTATCTTAACAACTACGTCCTGGTCATTACTAACACTGCAGAGAGCTTTGCTTGTAACAACAAACTAAGCACAGGATATTTTGGGAAAGTTGAGTGGAAGTATAGGCTTGGTTTGGAGTACGATGAGCCCCCTCCCTTCCATCCCCCCTTCCC